ACGCACACTACAGGGCACACACCACCACACATACCACCGGGCTTGTACCACGGAGCTGCCTCATGGGGGGGCCACAGTGCCAGGAAGCCCCCACCCCAGTCTGGCAGAAGACGTCCAACCACCTGCAGACTGTGGCCACCCCCGTTCAGAGCACCCCTGCAGGTGGAAGAGTTCAGAAGGGGAAGAGTGTGTGCACACACACTCTGACTCTGAAGGTGGGTCATAGGTCCCTGAGAGCCTTTATCCCTGAGCTCTGTGAGCAGTGCTCCTGGCAAAGTGCTACTGTTAGTCCCCTAACTGCTTTGCCACTGACTAATCAGGCTACGCGAAGGTGCGTGTTACACAAAGAAGCTATGTTATTTTTAGTAAATAAATACAAAGTTGGAGAACGTTAACAGGAAAGAACTTTAAATAATATTTCTTTATAAAACAAACATTAGGATTTATTTTGAGAGTGATGGTTTCATTAAATAACCATTTCTTGGAGAAAAATGAATTCAAAATAAAGCTGACCTCAACATGCAGAAGAATGAAACTAGATCATTTTCTCACACCATGCACAAAAATAAACTCAAAATGGATAAAGGACCTGAACGTGAGACAGGAAACTATCAACACCCTAGAGGAGAAAGCAGGAAACAACCTCCTTGACCTCCACCGCAGCAACTTCTTACTTGACACATCCCCAAAAGCAAGGGAATCGAGAGCAAAAATAAACTGTTGGGACCTCATCAAGATTAAAAGCTTCTGCACAGCAAAGGAAACAACCCAGAAAATTAATAGGCAACCAACGGAAAGGGAAAAGATAGTTGCAAATGACATATCAGATAAAGGGTTAATATCCAGAATCTATAAGGAACTCACCAAACTCCACGCCCGAAAAACAAACAACCCAGTGAAGAAATGGGCAGAAGACATGAACAGACACTTCTCCAAAGAGGACATCCAGATGGCCAACAGACACATGAAACGATGCTCAGCATCCCTCCTCATCAGAGAAATACAAATCAAAACCACACTGAGATACCACCTCACGCCAGTCAGAGTGGCTAAAATGAGCAAATCAGAGAACTCTAGATGCTGGCGAGGATGTGGAGAAACGGGCACCCTCCTGCACTGTTGGTGGGAATGCAAACTGGTACAGCCCCTCTGGAAAACAGTGTGGAGGTTCCTCAGGAAACTAACAATAGAACTCCCTTATGACCCAGCAATAGCACTGCTAGGAATTTACCCAAGGGATACAGAAATGCTGAGGCATAGGAGCACATGTACCCCAATGTTCACAGCAGCACTCTCCACAATAGCTAAAACATGGAAAGAGCCTAAGTGTCCATCCACAGATGAATGGATCAAGAAGATGTGGTTTATCTATACCATGGAATACTACATGGCAATGAGAAACAATGAAATCTGGCCATGTGTAGCAACATGGATGGACCTTGAGGGTGTTATGCTGAGCGAAATAAGTCAGGCAGAGAAGGACAAATACCATATGTTTGCACGTATAGGAGGATTAGGAGGAACTTGACGGAGGACCAAGGGGGAGAAGAAGGGCGGAAATGGTGGGGGAAAGGGAGAGAGGCAAACCATGAGAGACTCTTGAATGCTGACAAAAACTGAGGACTGATGGATGTGGGGGGGAGGGGGGATGGACATGAAGGAGGGCACTTTGGGTTGGGGATGAGCACTGAGTGTTATGTAGAAACTAATTTGACAATAAACTATTTGTGTAAAAAAAAAAAAAAAAAAAAAGCTGACCTCTGCAGAACTTGGTAAGGGAGCACTGGCCCCGGGAAGATGTCCCACAAGACTGCTGCCTTGTGGTCGGAGTGGCGCCACAGACGACCATGCCGACACTTCCGAAAGGCAGATCCGCAAAGGGCAAAACCCCCGAAACTCCAAAAAGCCCCACATTTTTGTAAGAAAATGCACTCCACTAAAAGTACGATCTCATAACAAAATGAATACACCTTAGTCAATACTCGCTTTTGTTCTAATTTCCTCAGCATCACCCTGAACCCCACTCAGAGTGGGGTTCAAGCACCTCCCTTGCCACAAAGAAGCCCTATCTGTGGAGGCTCTGGAAAAAGGTGGCCACAGAGACTTCCAGACTTCTGGTCAGGACAGACAGCTTCACAGTTCCTTGGCAGAAACACCCAATTAACTTGTTACTACTAATCAATCTTGGAGAATTTCCAAGAGAAGTTGAACTCTGTGGAACTTCCATTATTTGTTAAGTTTTAACCTATAGAAATTGCAATTTTATACCCTTAACTCAGTGTGTGATCTGCCTTACAAAATGAGCCAGTGGTGCACTTATCCCCCAAGAGGGCCTGAAACGGCAAAGCAGTGTGGCCCGTGGAGGAGAGGGGCCTGCGGGATGCAGCAGAGGGGTCCCCGGGACACGGGCCAGCACCTGAGGAAGAGTGGGTCAGGGGGTGGAGCACAAGGGGGGCCACTGTCAGGGTTGTGTTCTCAGACCACGCGGAAAGAGGCAGGCCTGGTCTAACTCAGAGGCAAGACCACGATGGAATACAATACGCCAAGGCGTGTTAGCGTGTTCAAACATTACTATGCCTGGAAGATAGAATTTGTTACAATGCATTTATTCCATATTTAACTGTACCCACGCCTCTCCATGTGCAATAGTTTCTTTCTTTATGTTACAGCACACCTTCTAGAGCCTCTGAGTCAGCCAGAGAACTTTGCTTGCACAGGGCCTGCCCGCTCACCATGATTTCACCAGGGCCACAAGATCCAAAGTGGAAACAGAGCAAAGCCAACTACTGCTGGATAGAAAGGGGTGTTACCACATCTGGGGGTTAGTGCCAATTAACTCCGTGTTAGCAATTGTATTATAACCATCCACCACCTCCCTTCTCAAACCGTAAAATCCCCACACCTGGTCCCTGCCTGGGAGTAAGAGATTGCGCTAAATTAGAAAAAGCTGGCTTGCACATGCTGAGGCGTGGGAACTCCCGGCAGCAGCCACCGCAAACTGTCAGGAGGCGCGGCTGGCCCAGGGGACCCCGAGTCCCTGAAACCTGGCTAGGAGGACCTCGCCCCAGTTGGAAGTGCCCGCCAGCACTGTGGGGCTTGCCCGGCAGGAAGAGGCTTCTAGGTCGGCTTGGATGGCCTTCATCCTTGCCCTAGTGGCTGCGTCCCGCTGGTCCTGGTCCCCCACACTGACCATGACTGGCTGGCAGAGCAGAAGCCGTGGGCATTGGGGCCCAAGGCCCAGGAGGGGTGGCGGGGCAGGATAAGTGTGGCCAGTCCCAACCCTCTTCAAACACTGAGGATAGGACCTCAGGATCTAATGGGCTCACTCCCAAAGTCCCCCTTCAATTATATAGATACTTCCCTTCATAACTTTTCTGTCCTGAAAGTTTCAAAACCTTAAATTTCAGCTCACTATTCATTAGACTTACGGAGAGGAAAGCCATTTGGGCAGTTCTTTCCTGCCCCTAGTGACGCAGCAGCCTCCTGAGCACAGACACGGATGCAAGAGCTCAGAGCACCAGGACTCCCACGTCCCTGCTTCAGGGACAGGACCACACCTGAGCTCCTCAGCCTGCACAGCACACAGAGGTCACAGGCTCGTCACCCACAGTGTCCGAGCAGCCAGCTGGCTCATGCTACTGGGCAGCAGCTGGGGCTCACCCGGGGCACGGACGAGGAAGGGTTGCTGGACATGTGCACAGCGACACGCGAAGGCCTGCCACAGCGCCCACACCCGTGCTGGAGACAGAACTGGATGACACAGGGGGCAACTGAGGGGGCCCGTTCATTACGACTGCACTGTTTCAGTTCATCACGTGTGAAAAAGCTCAAGGTATTCTCTGTTCACTTGTCAGACCTCGTTAGTCAACTCAGGTATTAGCTCAACTTTTTTTTTTTAACATTTTATTTCTGACAGAGAGAGCGAGCGCAAGAGAGTGAGAGCGAGCAGGGGAGAGTCAGGGAGAGAGGGAGACACAGAATCCGAAGCAGGCTCCAGGCTCTGAGCTGTCAGCACAGAGCCTGACGCAGGGCTCGAACCCATGAACCGTGAACTCATGACCTGAGCCAAAGTCAGACGCTTAACCGACTGAGCCACCCAGGCACCCCTTAGGGGCTTCTCTATCCCTTGCCCCTGGAAATTCTACTCCACTTCCAAGTTCCTTTTTGCTGAAAATCACAGCAGCTATTAGAATACCATTAAGCTCATTTAGTCCATTTCGAAATTCAAGATTGCTTTAAATGCACCTTATCTAAACTCTTAGGTAATTTTCTTCCTTGAGTATATGTGTGTACACATCCATACATAGATATATATACATATACATGCACGTTATTAAAATAAGCATAAAAAATCACTATATGAAATAAGCCTCTGGCATATGTCTAGAATAATTTTAGTTGCCACAATTAAGGTCCGGGAAAATGATTTTTAGCGACCACAGACCATGTGCCTTTGGGATACAACATTTGGGCGGTATGTTCTCAATTCGTCCTTTAAGAACACTGTGTCAAACTAGGGTAAGTTTGAGAAATTAAACTGAAAACTTATTCAAGAAGACACAGTGCTGCCACCCACTCTGATGTCAATGTCACCAACCAAGTTTATGGAAGTGGCTAATTGTCCATGTACAAGCCTCATTTTCTGTGGTGCTGGCAAGCAGATAGTTTAAGTTAACAATAAGCTTATTGAAAAATTCACTGCTATTCAGATGTGTTCCTATTTAAACCCTTCAGCCAACAGGAGTTAAGAGTCGATCTGCATGCATCATTTTTATTGCCTTTGCCAAGAATTGTGTGACCATGTGCCAAAACTAACACAAGCATTTGGAATGGGTGGAGATCATGAACTCTTGTCCTTACGGCGTGGCCACATGCTGTCTCTGTTTAGATGATGTAAAAATACCAAGTCAGTATAGTCGATAAAATGAGCTGTGATGTAAGTGATAGTTAATAAGTCAAGCTCCCTGAACGAAACCCTAGGAGGTGGCGGAGTTACTGACCTCGCTGGAAAATGGGATGGTGAATCGCAGGCAAAGGGAGGTCTTTGAGGACCGCAGGCTCATGGAAATAGGCATCCAGCCAGGCCACGCACTGCTTCAGGGGTGCCGTCATCTCTCCTGGACAGCGGAGCAGCTCAGGAAGAGTGGGGGCCTCCACGGCTCTGCAAAAGTGAGAACAGGAGCTTAATAGGGCTCTAGGCCCTGTGTCCATACATGTGAAAAGCAAACAAACATCTACTCTACCCACATGGGTAGAAGTCCATGGCTACTTCCTGGGTGTGGGTATCCACAGTCTCGCAGCAATGGGAAGGAGCGCCTGAGGGGGGCGTGAGATGTCCGCCATCCGCGCCCCTCCCTTCAGCTTTAAGAAACACAGCGCATCCCAGAAAACAAGAGGCGACTCCAGGAAGACACACCCTAGTACACAGGCTCTTCCGCCTGGGGCCCTGAATGTCTGCAGCCATGCTGTGAAGCAGGCCCAGACGGAGCGCGAGTAGGCAGCAGGGAAGCTGCTACACCGGTGGGTGTGTGCGCTGCCCCTTTGTGACCAGCAGGTGCATGTGCACACCTCCCATTCACCCAGCAGATCACCACGTGTTATCAACAGTATTTTCTGCAAATACTGTTGAAGTAATTAAACTGTATTTGATCACCTAGGCCCTCCCACGGAATTTCAACAGAACAGCATGTTCATGATTTTCTATCACTTTGTGCTGCGTTCTGGGGGCTTCCTCCAAGTCTGCTTTTGGTTCCTGGCACTTCCACTTCAGAGCGTCTGATCTGTGTGTGGGTCGTTCTGGGAGCCTCACTTCCCTCACACTGCTCTTCTTGTTTATTTTTTTTCTTCGAATTCTCCTCTTCATTCATTATGGTCACTTCTTCCTTTTATCTCAAGCTTAAGCCAAGGTTGCTTAGGCTCTCTTCAGTCTGTGCCCTGCCCTTAGGGCCTGACTCTTCTGTCTGTGGGGACTCCCAGAGCCGCCTCCACTTCAGCAGGTGCAGACTCTCTGGGACATGCTCTGCTGGAATGAGGAAACACCCCTCAGAGAGGCTTTTCTTTCTGCTTCTGAGCCCTAGAGTTTTATGATGGGTCCAAGTTTTAATTTCTGAGGACCCCACACTGACAAAAGCACTAGCCCCAAGTCTGATTTCTTCCAAAGACTTTCCTTCCTCACCTTCCAAGGCCCGGCACAGGTGGCAGGCTTCCTAGCAACTTTCTGGGCGTGGAGGGTAGAGCGCATCTAGAACTCTCTGATACTGAAGCTCTGGGGGCAGCATATGCCCAAGCAGTACATTTCCTGACCCTTCGAGTTTCCTTCCCTGTGTGTGGAGGGTGTGTGTGTGTGCGTCAGTCTGCAGGCTGCCTTTCTCGCCTTGCACTCACCACCCTTACAAGGGCCTGAGCAGAGGGGCCACCACTCACTTGGCCATGTGACCCAGCACAGGGACGACAGTGTGGCAGAAGTCCCCAGGAGCACAGGCTGGGCCTGGTGAGGACAGTGGCACACGCAGGGCGCTGCTGCAGAACCGGAAGCCTGTGTACCTCACCCTGCATGCTACAGGCAGTGGCTGAAAGCCCTGAAGCAGGTCTTACAAATGACCCTGCACTGGCATCCAAGTCTCTTGGGCACAGCATTCTGTGGAAACGAGGGCCTCCACTGAGGTCCTGGGATCTTTCCAGAATAAGCTTCCTCGGATTGGATGGGCAGAAATGCCCTTCATATTGTTTTTCCAGGAGAGAACAGAAGATGGATCAGAATGGTGGGGTGGGGGGAGGGCTTTCTAAGCTCTCACACACGGGCAGGGTGAGGGAAGAACTGGGGAGTGAACAGAAGACTGAGCCCACACACACAACCAGGGAGAAGGCAGGCCACAGTCCGACCATCCTGCCGACTCCCAACTGGAAGGGACAGGCCCAGGCCTTCTCGCTAGCTCGCTGTGAGCTGGAATGTAAGTGGACAGGTCTCTGGTCAGCCTGGACCCTGACTCAGCAGAGGGGCCGCACAGGACCTGCTCCCTCCACAGGCACGGTGAGGCCAGGGGAGCGGGGGCAGGGAGGAGACATGCATCTCCTCACTACCCCGACTCCTCTATCCATTAGGACCACTGGTCAGCGAAGAAGTAGACCGTTCTGTGCTTGGCTGAACAATTATTCAACTTGAGAGAGAAATTCCAGTCCCTCTGTTCTCCCATTGTTCCTTCCTTGCTGATAAACTGATGGTACTGGAAAATAATGATGGTCAAGCGTGTCATGTGCTGTTCCATCCCACTCCCAGGTAGGGGGAGAGGAGACAGGTCCACCAAGGGCGAGCCAGGCTTCCGTCCTGACGAAGCCAGCATGGTCCAGGGGGCAGCTCTGGGCCTAAGGCCTCGGCGGCAAGGAGGTGGTCTGTGGGTGACTCCTGGTCACATGCGGGGTGAACAGGGCTGAGGTACCCATGTCCACACCCTAAGCTGGTGGGCGGCTTCTGTCCAGAGGAAGCAGGAGAGGGGCAGGGGTTGTGTGAAGAGCCTGCACTGACCCACACACAGCCACAGACGCTATCAGGGCTTGTGAGGTGTGCTGGGCCTTCACACACATGGCAAATGGGGTCCCATTTCGTGCCTTCACATCACGAAAAGTGGGTCTTCTGCCTCCACTAGTGACCTGCTTTGCTCTAAGAGTTACTAAGAGTTACAACTCCTTCCTCAGAGGCCCCAGAGTGAAACGGGGGTGTCCAGGGTTCGGGAGAAGGGGCCAGACTGGTCGCCTCTCCCTTCACGTTGCTAAGGGACTAGACGGGTAGCTGTGTTCCAACTAGCATTTCCCACTCCTAAAAGGATATTTGAAGAATTTTTATAGTAGTAAAATTCATCTTAAATTGATTTTTTATGCTTGTGCTAAAGATCTCAACCTCTGATTTACTCTGTAGGTCTCCTTTTTAACTCTTTCTCTATTGGCATTAGGTAACTATTCATGGGTGAAATGTAATTAAACAGCTTTGATTCTGAAGCAAGGATTTATGATACTACATTTAAAATGAATGGCATTAAACACACACATAAAATCAGATTTTTAGAGCCATGACACAAATTTCCATTTCTACAATAAAACGAAATTTATTTTCTGCCCTGCCCTCCCCTCCAGCCTTGCTTCACTCATCCCTGTGTGAGCCGGGTGTGACGGCACCCTTACTAGGGAGGAGTCTCTGCGGGCTGCCCCACCGACCAGCCCTGAAACCCCACTCATTACGGGCAAGCACCAGCGCGTGGGAGCCCAGGCCCACCGCCAGGAAGCCAGTGCTGCGGCACACAGGGCCCTGTCCTGCCATCGGCTGGGAGAGGGCAGAAAGGGGACACGTCACAGTCACTCTTAATTCACAATCACATATTATCAGCAAGAGTCATCAAGGCAAATGCAGGAACCCTGGAGCCCTTCTTCTCTCTCTTTTTTTAATCCTGGCATGAGAGGTCTGGCTGGTGGCGACAGGTGAATCTGGCTCTGCTGAGTTGTACACAGGGCAGTGGAGAGCACTGGGTACAACGTGACACTGCAAACACAGAATCACATATCGTTTGGTTTAAGGGTTTCTTCCAGAAAGAGGCAACTGTTGGCGATCCCAGGACAACAGTGTGTGGGCTTCCAGGGAAGCTCCTGGAATGTCAGTGAGAAGAAAGGCCTGTGTGAAGTTCTCCTGGAGTCCTGCCCCATTTGGAGAAGTAGCCCCGACCCCTTCCCTTCTGGGGTGTGGGTAAAGGATGTTCTGGTGTTAAATATTTCAGGTCTCAGATCAGTCCTTCAACCTGTATCAGGACACAGAAGAAGCGTGACGTGCTCCAGGATGAACTCCTGAAATGTCTTTCAACAATGGTGGTGACGCCTTACCGCCATGTATCAGGGGACAGCCCATCGCCTCACAGCCTTACGCACAGGAGCCTACATGCTATTCAGGGGAGGACTGTCCTTCCTACTTGCAACGAAACTCGCGTTTCCAGACATGGATTTCAATTAGAAAGCAAGGGCATGGAGGCAGCAAGGACACAGGGGAATGGACCAAGTTTCCATGAAATGGCCCCATCAGACGAGGCTCCTAGCCACCCATCTGCCACATGGGAAGCCCCAGTGGGCGCTGTCCATCCGGTATGGCGCCCTCGGCCAGGGTGGCACACCCTGGGCTCAGGGCAGCAGTCACTGCAGACCCCAGAACCCACCACCTGCAGTGGGCAACGTGCACCAGGCCGGCTTGTCGACTAGAAAGCTGCGCTCAAGGTCTAACGCTGCATCAAGTACTGGCATGGCACGAGGAGACCTGACAAAGCCTTCCTGACAGCATGGCCCCGCTCTCTTCCCATGTTTCCAATTCGCTCAATACTTTAGAACTCACCCAGCTTGGCAGGAGATTTGGGGGCACCTCAAGACTTCACTGGTAGTAACGAATCACTAAATCTTCGTTCTGAATGAATTCTACTTCCCAAAGACATTAAAATGTCATGTATTTGGCTTAAATCCCATTTGATGTAAGAAAACAGGCCAAAAGTTCTAAGCTACTCACATCTGATTAGCAGCATTAGCTATACCCAGGGGGCAGACTGCTAGGCGTTCGGAAACCTCTCTTTTTGACCCCAATACTTTTCCAACATCTATGTCTTCACAGGATAAAACTGAGTCTTTCAGTTTGGAACATTAACCGGTGATGCTGGAGGATCACCCAAGAAAAGAGCTCCAACCTAAGGGTTCTAGAGACACGTATTCATATGGAATCTGGCAGGAGCTGGCCCAGGCTGTGTCCGTTGGCAAGGCCGCGAGGTCAGTCTGTATGGAGGCACACAGACACAGGGTACAACTTGTTGTGGGAGGAAGAGTCCAGGCTCTTGGCCACATACGGCATTTTAGACACCCTTACGATGAGGAACATTTCCCAAGCCGAGCCAGACACGCAAGTCTCCCCTTCTCTGGCTTCCAGGACACAGTGTGGACTCCAGGGTAAAGCACGAGACCCCACAGTCTCAGGAAGGCACATGTTTTCAGCAAAACCTTAAATCTGCAACAGAGGTGACTTTAAACCATGCTGCTAAATGTCACCAGTTAATGTCCTATGAGGTCTAATTTAACAGATCTCTAGCAGAGCCTCTTGTGTTTGTGTCTGATGGATTTGTCCCTCATTTAATTAGACATTCCTGT